GCTTCTGATATCAGTGCTAAGATATAGTGTAATGTGTATGGAAGAATTAAAGCTCCACCTAGGACTTATGTTTAGAGTATCAGATGTTTTGCACATATGGTGGTGCTCTCTGTCATATTACTTCTGGCATACATATCTGTCATATAAATAGATGGTACACTACTGATATATTTCATATTTTTTATTTTAATTGGGCTTAATAACAACAGTGATAAATATGCAGTTTTGTGAAAGAAAAAAATAACGATAGTGTGCCTAGACATATTATTATGATTTGTTTAAAGAATTTTATTTCTCCTTAGAAAATGTACTGTATATATATAGCCCAATGGATTAGTAAGCTGAGGTGGCAATGGGCTGGTCATATAACTCGAAGAACTGACAACCAATGGAGAGAGTGGCAGCCTCATAGGTCGGCGACAAGTTTGAGTGAGATAGATAGTAATTACTAAAATAACTGCTACCAGTCTTAAGTTTTTTGAAATCAAAACCATCTTTTTTTTTAAATGGCTTATTAGACCGGCATATTTTCCAGTCTTCCTTTCCAGAGAGTCTTCAATGGCTTCTGATTTTTTGGCGCACCTGGGAAAAATTTTGGATAAGATAGGAGTACACTTTTTAATTTATCTATTCCTAGTATAAGAAATCTAATCTTATGTCAGTTGAACGGTCAGGCCTAGATATTGTACAAGATCCTCCTGTCTTATGTGCCTATGAGTCACTATTTGGCGAGGGTGGCTTAGATATTAGTTCATTCACACTAGTCCAAATGGTGTGTCTATTTGTCTCACTCATCTTGTTAAAAGAGATGTAAACAATCTGTCTACTAGCTTGAGTTTGGTGCTAGCTTGTGAGAACATGGACCTTAAAATTAAGGACTTATAGAAAGTCTAGCATGCATGTACTTTTTACCCTTTTTACTGGAAACAAGGCATTCTGCGTTTTGATTTGTAATCGAGGATAGATGTAGATGTCTATGGGCCACAGCAACTACTCACCACCAGGTGGACTGGGTGCTCGTTTGTCACCCTTATCCTACATGCACTTGAAGCATTTTAACAAAGTCATGAAATTGGCTTGTAATCGGGTTACTTTAGAAAAAAACAATGTAATAATTTGAGTACAGGCTTGGACAATAAAGCGAAATGTAATTTTCAGAAGGGTGACAGCAGCACAGGAAAAAATTAAGGGAAAGATTTGTAGGGTGCGTGTGAGTGTTGTGTGTGTGTGTATGGGTATCATCATCATCATTACAGCCCTTCACAAATTCACTGCTGAACATAGGCCTGCTCCAAGGAATGCCACAAAGCACGGTCCCAAGCCACCTGTATGCATCGACTTCCTGCATGTCTTACCAGGTCATCACTCTATCTAGTGGGAGGCCGACCTATGAGGCTGCCACTCTCCCCATTGGTTGCCAGTTGTTCGAGTTATATGATCAGCCCATTGTTACCTCAGCTGACTAATCTATTGGGCTATGTCAGAGAAACCCCATAGCTTTGTTCATTGCTGGCTTGAGCTTCACAGCAGTGAAGGGCCACATCTCAGATCCGTAAGTCATCACTTGCAACACGCACTGATTGTATGATCTCGGTTTCTCGTAAGTTTTGAGGTATACTTGACGAGAAGATGTGTCGTAATCTTCCGAACGCTGCACAGCTGAGTTGATTCCATCAATTGACCTTTCGGTCTAAGTTTGACTTACCTAGTCGGACTATTTGTCTCAGGTAAACATATTCGTCAACAACTTCGAGCGTAGTGCTGCCAACAACTACTGGCATAGATGTATACAATGTGTAAACATAACCTTTGTTTTGTCCATGTTCATCTTAAGACTTGTGTATGCATATGTGTGTACTAATTTAATGTAATATATTCTCCACAGAGTAATAATGAAAATTGTTTACACCTGGTGCATCAAAATATACAAGGCATGATAGGCAAAGAGCTAGAAATTGAGTTGTTCTTAAATAGCAACAATATTCATATCTTATGTATTACTGAACATTGGTTAAAAGCTTATAATTTAATGTTTAACTTCAGTAATCACCAGGTGGTCAGTTCTTTCAATAGAGATACGGTTTTAAGAGGTGGCTCCTTAATATTAACTAGTAAATTATTATCATGTAAAGAACGTAAAGACATTGTGAGCCTCTCTGTTGAGCGAACTGTAGAAATGGCATGTGTTGAGTTTGAGCACCTCATTGTTGTGAGCGTCTACAGACCCCCATGTTGTACATATGATACTTTTGAAAACATTATGGAGGAAGTTTTTGCTAAGCTTAATAAACAGAATAAATCTGTTGTAATATGTGGAGACTTTAATATCAATCTCCTAGAAGCTTCCTCCATCAATATTAAATTTAGATCATTGTTTAAATCATATGGTCTTTTTAATTTATTTATAGAGCCAACGCGTATTTCTCAATCTAGTGCAACATGTATAGATAACATTTTTACAAATGTGAAGCCGTTGCATAAATGTATAATTCAAAAATTAAGTTCTGATCACTGTGGACAAGTAGTTTCGTTACCTTATGTTCACAAAAAGCAAGTAGATGAGAAAGTTGTGTCTATTCCAGTAAATGCACGTCGCTTGGAGAAATTTAGAAGTAACATAGTGAAAAAACTTCCATCACTTTCATACCAAAATGATCCTAATTTAATGTATGGAACATTATTTAAGCTTATTTGCAATGAATTTAATAATACTTTTACTTCTAAAACATTCTCCTTGAACAGTCGGAAGTCATTCAATGAATGGGCGACAGTAGGAGTCCATAAGAGCAGGCATAGGTTATATGATCTTTACCATGAAAGGTCATATAATCATAGCGTCGAATTTAGGGAATATGTAAAAAAATATTCAAAAATATTTAAAAGAGTGTGCTCCATAGCCAAGTCTTTGCATTTGAGCAACAAAATTAAGACGGCTTCCAATAAAATTAAAATGACATGGAGTATAATTAATAGCGAAACTGGTAAGATCAACTCTCGCAATTCTAATTACCAGTTAAGTGTTAACAACAAATTAACTGTATCAGATCAGGACGTAGCAATGGTTTTTGAGAAATATTTTACTGATATTCCGATCTTGACCACTAAGTCACTGAATTCTTCTCCTGCCGTCGCCGAATCATTACTTAAACAAAATGTAAATGTGTGTACAAAGAATTTTACATTTCATAAAGTGTCATCAAAAGATATTGTAAAATATTTTAAAACTATTGATGTTAAGAAAACTGCGGATCTGTGGGGGATTTCCGTTAAAGTTATTGCGTCTATAATAGATACAATCGCGCCTCATTTAGCTATTATTTTTAATACTAGTATCGAATCTGGTGTGTTTCCTGATTTAATGAAGCATAGTAAAGTAATACCTTTATTTAAATCTGGTAGTACATTAGACCCCGCCAATTTTAGACCTATTTCTGTACTACCAACACTTAGTAAGATTTTTGAAAAAATTGTTCTTGTTCAAATGTTAAATTTTTTTAATATAAATAATTTACTTCATAAAAATCAATTTGGTTTCACAAGGGGTCGCTCGACAACTGATGCCGGTGTTGAGCTGATTAAATATATCTTTAATGCATGGGAGAATTCACAGGATGCTTTGGGTATATTTTGTGACCTATCCAAGGCCTTCGATTGTGTTCACCATGAAACATTAATCAGGAAACTTCAACACTACGGTGTAAGAAGTGATGCCCTTAAATTAATTATTTCATATTTAAGTAAGAGAACGCAAAAAGTTGTCATTAACAATATGAGCTCTTCCGGATCGATGGTACAAATGGGCGTGCCTCAAGGCTCAATTCTCGGCCCCTTTCTGTTTCTTGTATACATTAATGACTTACCTTACATAGTAGGGGATAACCATGATATAGTATTATTTGCAGATGACACTTCTTTAATTTTCAAATTAAGTCGACAGTTACTAAAATATGACGAAGTAAATAATGCTATCTCTAAATTAGTAAATTGGTTCGATGTTAATAATTTGCATTTAAATGGCACTAAAACAAAATGTATGAAATTCGTGACTCCAAATGTCAAACAATTAAATACTAATGTAATTTTAAATGGGGAGAAACTGAGTCTTGTAGATACCACCATTTTTCTTGGAATCACACTAGACGCGAAGCTTCAATGGAGCCCCCATATATCAAAACTAGCAAGCAGACTTAGTTCTGCAGCATATGCTGTAAAAAAGATTAGAAGTTTAACCAGTGTTGAAACAGCTAGACTAGTTTACTTCAGCTACTTCCATAGCATAATGTCGTATGGTATTTTGCTATGGGGACACGCAGCTGACACTGAAATTATATTTGTTTTGCAGAAGAGGGCCATAAGAGCAATTTATGATTTAAAGCCTAAAGAGACGCTGCGACAAAAATTTAAGGAAATTAATATATTAACTTTGGCCTCTCAATACATTTATGAAAATGTAATGTACGTACACAAAAATAAAAGTAGTTTTACAAAAATAAGTGATATTCATTCTGTAAATACTAGGAACAGACACAAGCTAGTAGTACCAGTTACTAGACTCCATCGAGTCAGTAATTCATTCTTGGGGCGATGTATACGCTTTTACAACAAAATTCCAGAAAATATACAAAGTTTGACCTGTTCAAAGTTCAAAAACTTTATTAAACTAAGTTTGTATAAAAAGGGTTATTATAATATTAAGGAATTTATGGATGATAATAACCCCTGGAAATGAGGTGATCGCTACCAAGCTATTTCTAATTTGTTGTGTTGTTAATTTGTGTCACATCATGATTGTAAGCTGTTATTTAAAAAAAAAGTCCCGCTGGGTTTCTTGCTGGTTCTTCCCAGGACAGAGGTTTTTTCCGAACCAGTGGTAATCAAACAAAAGAGTGACTTTCAATAAGTATTATTTATAATCTATATTGAATAAAAAAGTTTCTGTTTCTGTTCTGTTTCTGTTTAGTGCAATTAGTTTGTTATGTAGTAATTCTGTGTTGTTTAAGGTGGTATTGGTGCTGACGGTGGGCCACCTCCATGGATTCCATTTGGCCAACGTTTGGAGGCTCTCTCTGTGGATAAACAATTTAAGAGTTTGCAGGAAGCTGCTAAGCAAGATAATGCAGAGTTTGAAGCTCAGAGGAAAGGTGCAATTGCTGAAGCACAGAGATTGTCTGGTGTTAAGAAGGTAACATATGTTTATATTACATTAGTTTATGACATAAATAGCCGGGTGATCACGGTGTAAAAGAATTCATCACCCCATTACATCCTGTTGGTTTCGTAAGAGGGGATTATGTGAAATGTAAGAAAAATCTTATGGCTTCTGATAGATGCCCATATAACTATCTTATATGTAACTATCTTTTCACGTCAGACTCACATCCATTCACGTCAAACTGGCGAAGGGCAGCAGCTTCGGAGGTGCGAGGCTTCTGGCACTGCACAGTAATCCGGTTGTAAGCGTAGCCGTAGAATTAAATCCAGATAGGTTTTACTAACAACAGAAGGGGCCACGTTTGTGGATTGATAAAGATGTAAAATAGTTATGTAGTAGTAGCTAGAATTGTGTAGCGCCGATTGCTTTAAAAATTATATCACTGAGTGATTGAATCTATTTCTTACAAGTGTTTATTTTGCTAAAACCCCTCCCGGACTCAGCAAGCGGCACCCGCCGCTTGTGGAGTACGTTGTATGAAGAAAATGAATTCAAACGTATTGGCGGGCGAAAGGGGGAGAAATTGGAGGTTTTGTGTACCGGGCTAGTATGCATCGCTTTTTTGCTGAGCTGGAGCCGTCTATTACCGTCACCGAGCAAAACCTGGCAGACCGAGTTCGGTAGATGCGCTCAAAAATATTTGACGACGCCGAACTCGAACGGCTACGACGTGAGGCTATTCCGTCGTCGAATGAAAATACTACGACAGGAGATGCGGCTCTACGAGTTGCAGAGCAACCCGTACACGTAGATGCCGCCGTAGATCTCCTTGTGGTCGACTCAGACGACGATGAAATAGTCGCTCAGGAACAAGAGCAAATGAGGAGCATATTGGAAGAGGTGATTAGGAAAACGCGCAGTACGCCTCTCGAGAATCGACCACGACTTCCCCGCATACCCCTAACTAAGCAAGCGAAATCGGGCTGTCGTGATGGCTCTAAACCCACTGCTGGTGATCTATTTGGAAACCAGCCGGGAAGTATAATCTTTATATATAAAAATTACGTGTCACATATTTTTCCTCGATGAATTCCTAAACTATTGAACTGATTTCAATGAAAGTTTGCACACTGTGTGCAGTTTGGTCCAACTTGAGAGATAGGATAGTTTTTATCCCGATAAGTAACCTTCAATATATTTTTATTGCGAATTTAAGGATTTTTTCATAGGAAGTGTCGTCGGAAAGGGCAAAACAACGTATGCCTACCTAGCTAGTTATATTATAATAAATATATAAAAGGATAATTATTTAATATATCCTTTTATATATTTCTTCAGCCCAACCAGATGAGAATACTTTATAAATAATGTCCTCCAGACCGAATTTCGGTCACGGTGGTCAGTCTGAACAGAGACTAGCCATCTGCAATTCTCCCCCCCGTGGCTCTACTTTACACGTGGTAGAGCCATGCTGCAGCTATATTAGTAGTATAGTTGTAGTACGAATGGGGTGGCTCGACCAGGGAAGGACCACGCTCTCATAGAATACCGGCGTAAAATAGCAGCTTAACACTGTGATGTGTTTCGTATGGTGAGTGTAGAGAACCGGAGACCCTTTTTACTGGAAAAGAGCCTTTTTACTGGAAAAGAGGCATTCCCTCTTAGAGAACGCATCTGCATTTTGATTCTTTATTGAGGATAGATGTGGATGTCTGTGGGTCACAGCAACCATCAGGTGGACTGTGTGCTCGTTTGTCACCCCCGCATCAACGGTGCGGAGGATAGGGCGAGTGGCGCCTCGTCATACCAGCTCTCCTTTTCCCCCGCGATTCCATCTTGGTTGCGGCGGGAAGGGGAATAGGACGCCACTCCCGCCACAGTCCACCAACCCGCATCAGGAGTGGGCTAGGTAACCGCTAGATCTAGGCAAATTGGAGCGGCCACCTCGGGTCGGCCCAAAATGTAGGGCCGACCCGAGGTGTCCTTTTTGTTCACCCTGGGTGACCAAGCCACGGGTACTGAGCCCCCGCCACGGCAAGGCGGTAACCCGTTCGGATATTGTTGTGAAATATATGTCTTGGCAAACATTTTCTAGATGTAAACGATGTTAAGTTGTCGAAAATACAGGTAACTTACCACTAGTAAATTGTAACTGGCAACATGTCACATACGACTTTAATTTTTCTAATATTCTATTTACAGATATTTGGTGGAGGCACTAAGCCTTTGTTAGATGCAAATGTGCAAAAGATTGTTGATGCTGGTTTTTCTGAGGAACAAGCTGAAAATGCCCTTAAATATACTAAAAATAATGTGGATAGAGCCCTCAGGATATTACAAAAAAGGGATAATTCAGAAAATAGGAGTAAGGAGAAGCCAAAAGAACCAGAGCAGCCTAAACGCAAGGGACGTAACAAAGAGTCCACTGATGAAGACACAATACCAGTTAAACCATCTGGCAAGGTGTCATTATTTGATTTTCTTGAAGATAAACTGCCTAATGTACCAGATAAAGATAAAAATAATCGTAATCACAACTCAACTACAGACGATAGAGGCGATAGAGGCGATAGAAATTATGCGAATAGAGAGCGAAACAGTGCCAAAAATAATTCTCGTTCACAAGGTTCAAGATATGATGGACCAAACAGAAATAAATCAGATGGCAGAGGCCACTATTCAAATGATAATCATCATACATCTCATAGAGAGGATCGAAAGTACCAAACTCAAAATGAGAAGCCACCAAGATTCCAGAAAAAGTTAGAAGAGAAAAATAAACAGCAGCAACAACAACAACAGCAGCAGCAGCAACAACAACAGCATCACCAGCAGCAGCAGCAACAACAGCAACAACAACACCAGCAGCAACAGCAACAACAACAATACCATCAGCAGCAGCGACAACATCACCATCACCAACAGCAACAACAACAACCACAAGCTAATAATGTCAATTTAAATACGCAATACAATAATTCATATCATACTCAACAACAAAATCAATTTAGTGAACATAGTATGCGCCATGATAGAAATATGAATGATAATAAAATGCATCAAACTCGTAACTATCAGAACAATACTAATGCTATAGATAGTATAACTGAGAGTACAGCAAATTTAAATCTACTAGCAAATCAATCACGGCCTACAGATGATGTTATTCAGCCCCGTAACTATCAACCACATCCTGAACAGATGTATGCTCAGAAACAGCCTTACTTTCCTAATCAAAACATGCAAGACATACCTCCGTTTAGGAGGAACAATGATTTAAAAAATTACCAAGATCAATCATACCAGCGAAGGCCACAACAGCAACAACAACAGTCAAATGGTTACATTGAGCCTCCACAGAACCCCATGTACCCAAATATGAACTACTTGAGTGGTACACAAGGTGGGTACAACAGCCGTCAGTACGGATATGGCGGAAGACCTCAAGAGTACAACACTACCATGCGTGCTGGAGGTCCATTTTTGCCGGGATCACTACTCGGTTTTCAAAATGCGGCTGTGAATGAACAAGCTCGTGCTATGCTCGGCGTTGCTGATATAAATTGGAAAATCGGCGATAGGTGCCTAGCACTATATTGGGAAGATAATAATGTATGAGAATGTTTTCTTTTTTAAATTAAATTCTGTTAAATTATTATGTATTGATGATATTTTACTTTCAGTTCTACGAAGCTGAGATTACTGGGATTTCAGCAAACACTGTAGTAGTCAAATTTTGTGCATATGGTAACCATGAGGAAGTTTTAAAGTCTAACTGCTTGCCTTTCCCTAATCAACGTAAGTATAATTTTATTATTATGATGGTAGTCATCACTTATAAGCCTGTAAAAATAATCGACTTTAGTCTATCATATTTTTTTCTAAGGATTTGCAGTCACTGCCACTGTAGACAGTAAGATAGGGATTGTAATATCTAGGGGGGATTTTTCGCATCTGCACTGCATCCCTACATGAAGTAAGGATGGAGAGGTTAAACTATGGAGCGCGTGCGAAAGTGTTTTATATACATTATATTATTAAGATAGATAAGTAAAAATCACGGAACAAATACAAAGAGGAGATGGCCAAAGCAACTGTGCACTGTGATTCTAACTAGGTCCTGACGTCATCACAGTGGGCGTGGCTTTAGTTAGTATACTGTCAGCGTTCTTCCTGTGCACTTATGTGTCGAAAATCGCGAATCGGTGTATTTTCGTAGTGTTAAGAAGAAAAGGATGATGTGTTGTGTTTTATCGTCTACAAACTACTCAGATAGAGGCACTGATGCTATGCATGGCATCACATTTCGTTTGTAAGTAATTTTATACCTAATTTATTAAAATAGTTCTAGAAAAATCTCTGTGTCGGTTTTCAAATGTAATTAAATATATTCGACACTAGATGGCGACATTTTGTGTCATGGAAACTAAAACTATAAAGACACGTAGAGCTCAGTATTAGTAAAATAATCATGCGAAGGTGCGGAAATTTGTTTTGCATTCAGTCCTAAAGAGTTTTTAATCACCAAATTATTATTTTTATAGTTTTTATAATCATTTTGTGAACAGGCCGCCATCTATCGTCAAGGTAGATACACTTCATTGCAACATCGATATGGAACGATGTTAGTAGTTTTACTAATTATCGGTAGATGGAAATTAGTTAAGTGGGCGAGTATTAACACTGGTACCCCTCACACCGTAAATTGTCACGCGTTGTTACATAGTGAAATCTAATTACAACACCTCCTCCTTGTATTTGCTCCGTGGTAAAAATAGACGAAATTAAACGCGATAAAATCCATTGAATGTTATTAGTAAAATAAACTTTATTCAAAGAAGATGATGTTATACATCTACGCTTCCATTTGCCACTTGAATTTTGTTACTGTTGTAGCAGCCAGGCTAATCAACCCTAAACCGTTATAAATAATGTTACCCTGCTGCTACTATAACGCAAAAGGTGAAGGTCTAAAGAAAACATCTATTTCCTAATTACCCCCGGCTACTGAGATACTGCGGGCTGCATATCGATGCGAGATAATTTGACGTATATATATGTAACGTTCTAATATAGAAACAAGAAGCAGCCACAAATATCATCAGCACCGCATCGTCTTCACACGCCGGCTATCTTCACGCATCCGTCGGCCATTTTCGAGCCGTTTCTTCAACGCCGCAGCTTCGCTTCTTCTTGCTGTTCCGGAGATGTGTCCCACGCCGCCGCCGCTAAACCACTCGGAGTCAGTTAATAGTGGACCCAATACACCACTATTACACTATATTCCAATTTGTAGTGGCGGCGTAAGAAAATCCACTACCCCATATTATTCTGATAACAGTTCAAAATAATAAAAAACTACAATCCGCCTGCTAAGCCCGGCAACTATGACAGATATTCCTCCTATGATGCAAACTATAGGGAAGGTCTCTTCAGCAGTGGATTTTTGATAGACTGTAATGATGATGGTGATGATGATGATGATCTTAAATTACCCCTTGAAATTAGTTCCTAGAAACAAATTACAGCTTTATATTAATTTTGTAACTACCTACATACGTCTTGATGCGCTGTTCCAATCGCTCGCAATTCCTTTTTTTCATAGAATAAGGGTGACAAACGAGCACACACTCTATCTGATGGTAAGTGGTTGTTGTGGCCTATAGACATCTGCATCTATCTTCGTTTGTGAATTAAAATGCAGATGCGTTGTCAGCCGTGAGGACTAAGATAGAATGCCTCTTTTCTAGTAAAATGGGTCTCCGGTTCTCTACACTCACCATACGAACACAGCAGCTTTAAGTTGCTATTTTACGCTGGTATTCTGTGAGAGCGTGATCCTTCCCCGGTCGAGCCGACCCATTCGTACTACAACTATACTATTAATATAGCTGCAGCATGGCTCTACCACGTATAATATAAACACTTTCAGAAATAAACTTTTACATTTGACCTCATTCCTAAGTGGCGCCACCCTGGTGGCAGAGAAAGTCATAGATGCCCGTCCCCATTGATAGACATGTATCAATCAGGAATCACAACAGACCGGAATTACTGTAGGATTTTCATATTTTTATGGAGCACTAGAAGAATATGTCTATTGTGATGTTGCAGCGTCTGGTAGCAGCGGCGGGTACATGTCGCGAGGCGGCGTGTTTGCGGCGCGGCGGCCGTAGGGAAGCGCCGCGGCGCGGCGGCACTTCGCCCTTGCCGCCCCTCTCGCCGCGTCCCTCGCCGCGCCCCTCGCTGCGCCTCTCACTGCGCCCCTCACTGCGCCCCTCGTTGTATCTCGCTCTACGCCTCTCGACGCGCCCCTCAATGCGCCTCGTACTACGCCCGTCGAAGCGCCCCTGAGCGCGCCCCTCGCCGCGCCCCCCACCGCGCCACTCGCTGCCAGCTGACCGCCGCAACCCCGCCTCTACATTGATAACTTTCAAATCGATGTTTCTGTCTCTTTTTACATTTTCTCACCGTAATTTAATAAACATCTTTAATCTTTAGTGTCTTCCGTTCACTATAATTTTCTGTAATATGTACAAATCCTGTTTTATCGAGGCTACATTAAAGTGATTAGGCGTAGGTTTGCGTTCTAGTGATCTGTCTGACCGAACGATTCATCGAACGAAGGCTAATGTCAAATGGCTTATCCATTGAAAGTTCGCTAGCGTGGCCACAATTTCCATTCGCGTTTCTGTTGTAATAAGCCGTATATACGAAACATTTGGTTGATCGCCGAAATTCTTCGTGTTGTATCGTGATTGTGCGTCTGACATTGTGGCGCATTATAGATAGCTTAATCCATATCAAAACACATCACATTATGTCCAGAATGTGCATTATAACTTACTATGGTATTCGTTCTGCCACGCTCTCGTTAGAGATGTGTGAAGTATAAACTTATATAAATTAACGTGTAAGTGCATAAAATGCTCATCTTTAATATTATTATTATTACACAAAATAGTTAAGTGCTGTTTGTGAATTTAAACATTCTAGAAATATGATGATGATGATGAAGATCTGTAATAATATTCGGCCCCAAACAAGGTAGCAAACGGCATTTACGTATTTTATTTTAAAAATAAAAATACAATGTTCTGTCAAGTATGCCGCAGAATTTTGGAAAGATACTGCGTAAAAGAAGCCAGGTGCTGTCTCGAATTTTTGGTAATATTTTATGATAGCTTAGTTAACTTTTACATCTATAATATGACAATTCCAACATAACTGCTTAATTTTTTTATGTTTGAGGGGTTTTCGTAGGCCACTTCAAGCCACTTCAGCGTCAACTAATATTGGCTTAATGCTGGATACGTTTATAATATTTTGGCGGCAAGGCATAGATAGGGTCTTAAAAAATGTTCATTGACATGAAAATTTCGTCAATCAATAAGTTCAATTAAAATACTTCTATGGATGTTAACGTAATAAACTGCGTGAAACTCGTTGCTCAATGCTTGGTGTATATGCTCATTGAAACGCGAGTCCTGGTTCAAAATAATGATAATAATTGTAACTAGCAATAACGAAATTACTGTATACCTTATCACTCTAAATCTAAACTTTATTTTTTACTTCTGGAGACTAAATGACATATTTCATGTACAACTTTTTCTTTTTACTACTTTTTATCACATTTTTAAGTTATGTTTAAAATTGGAATTAATCGTATAAACTATAAAATTTTACTATATTTTATTTCTAAACTAACGGAAATAAAAAAAGTAATAAGCGTGGGGTAAATAAAATAGCGATTGGCATACTTTAAATATGCCACTGCACTTAATAGAGCCACGCTGAATTATCACTCTGCTGCAGTAAGATTATGATCTTCTCTCTCTCTCTTACGTCATACCAATTTGAATTAGTATATGTTGATAATTTAATGTGTTTTGTTTGGTTAGTAGAGATAACTGGATACTCATATAACTTGGAATGTGGCAACCCATCTCTTGTTGTTGGGAACGCATCTGCGTTTTGATTCTTAATCGAGAGTAGATCAAAAGGAAAACAATAAAATATCGAATGTTGAGTAAAGTGCGTTTTTATGAAATAATTCCCTTCGCCGTAATGTTGGCAGCAGGGAAATCAGTGTTGCTATATTTTGAGCAATGAAATCACTTATATCCCTAATATTTGCCAACTACATTATTTTTCGCTCTTCGGTAACTTTTTATCTCTATTTTTTGCTTCCTGATTCATTTTTTTTCTGCAATTTTGCCCGGATTGGATATTTTTGTTGATGTACTAGCAGACACTTCACCTTCTTTACTTATCTTTGGAACAGTTTTTTTCGGAAATACCTAAAACAAAGGTTAATTAAAAATATTAGAAATAACGTTTTCGTATGTTATTTTTGGAACTGGCAACTCTATTTTACGAACTTTTCATGGCGGCTACCCGAAGTTGAACGCACTCTAATGGTATTATTGGCATTTTATTACGTTTTTCTCGATCACAAAAGCTTTTTACTTTCAACACTAATTCCCGTTTACCACTTTTTAGTGTCCTAGGCATAATTTTAACATTTGAAGATTAATAAATTAAAAAAAAAACTTAGGACGTTTTAACAGTCTTCATTCTTTTACGTTTAGACAGACAGGAGAGCCACCAACATTACGGCGAAGAGAATTCTTTCGTGAAACGTACTATAATGATGATAGTATAAAATTTTAATTTTTATAGCCACTGTACTCATAATAAAACATTTATTTTACGATTCGAATTACCATAAACGTAAAGATACTATGATAATATATGTTGTAACATTATTTTGAGATTGATGTTATTAGTAGTTGTTAATTTAGTCTTCAATATTAAAAAAAATTAAGGTCAAAGGCTATGGTAGGTACTAAGTACTTACTTCTCGCATTTCAAGGGAGTGCAACCATCTTTCCCCTTGCTTTTAATTCACGCAAACGAATTCTTCCTCACTTCTTAGACTGGACTCCGGTCAGCGTGTCTAGCCGCATCTCCAAGATGGCCGCACATACTTATACGGCTTAAATCGGAATCGTATATAGACTAGTATAATATAAATAAAGAATTAACTTTAGTTAGAGCAGAATTTTCATTGAATAAATTTTTTATAACGGAAAGAATTTTGTAAAAATGTTTTATTCATACATAAACTGTTTTTGGTTCATACCAAGATTTACACTTTTTGATAACGAAACATCATCAGAATATTCCGGTGTTATTTTTATTGTAATTTTTTTATATACAAATGAAGGTTTTTGTTCATTGGTATTTGACATTCAGAAACATCGATTTGAAAACGCTCTATTGAATTAATAATAATTTATTACTTTTCACGATGCTGCGTATGTTTTACTAAGTAATTTTGTTGTGAACAAGTAAAGGCAGAACTTTCTAATGGTTTGTACAAAATTTTACATTTCATTGATACATCATGCAGAGTGCAAAACAGATAAATGAAATAATATAAACTAACAATGTTTTAGCATAGTTGCGTAAATGCTTAACTTAGTAAATATCTTAGGATATTACTTAAACGAATCTCTCTCTTAAACACAATGTTTGTAAATAAATATTATTTGCTTGGAAAAATTATATATAGAATAAAAAAAATTATTACTTTTAGTTTATTTATATCTGGCCGTAAAATTTACGTAAATTTAACGCTGGCTGTAAAATAGTGAGTGACCTTAAAGGTCACTAACAAAGTCCAATATGTGTTTAAAACTATTTAATTTAACCATATAATTATTTCTATCGCCTCCAAAAACGAAACCCACTTTCGAAATTGCTTGAGAAAGTAATTGTGTCATCCAATAACGGTGGTTTCCAATGTTTTTCCTATTTATGGTGATTTTTGAGAGAATATATAATATTTGCATAAGTTTATTCATTTAATTGTCTAAGTTAGCCTTTATTTTATAATATTAATATTTGCGCAACTGCTAACACTTGTGAGCTTGAGACCACTACGCAGTGTCGTGGATCTAATCTAGTTAACATTTTTAGGTGTTGAATTTTTAGTAAATCGTTTAAGTTCAAGGGATGTAACACTCCTTTGGTGTTATACGTGTCTAGATTCCGCGTTGCCTTGTAATAATGTTTATAAACGGACCAGAATCGCTCTGGTAGTGTGTGTGAAAACACGGTCACGCCAACATTCTTAGTTGTATGTGTGTGTGTGTGTGTAGCTGTGTAGGGTACCCATTTCAAAGGTTTTCCACAGTTTTTAGAGTCCAATTCGCAGCGCAGTCGCAATCAGTACTAAATGGGCGCGACGAAGTTATCGAATAACTGTTGTACGGTATTTTTCTCTTTTCTACCGCGTTTATCCATCTAGACATGTATATAATCAAAGGTAATACTCACATTATGTTATTTATTGTCGGACTGTATGTAACCAGCATCGTAGAGTGTAGCTTGTATAAGTGTAATATGTTGTATTTTAGCGCAAAGTGTGTAATATATTATTTCTCGGTTTTCGCCGAGGCATTGTTTAAAAGATTTTCGTTTTTACTTTAACTTGTATATATAATAATATTTTATTGGAATACAACAGGATACTGTCTCATAATATAATAAAATATCAGCGTCTCTTACCTTTTTTTTGGTCTTGATAGCGGGAACCAATAAATAATGGAGGATCACTTGCATTAGAGTAATGGTTTTAACAATCATAACAACAGTACGAACAAAAACATGTATTGTATTTACACAAGAAGTAGTTGAACAACTTTTTGTAAATTTTTAGAAAAAAATTACTACCCACTCAAAAACAGGAGATGCTTGTGCATTGCACTGTACTGCCAATATTTTAATTTTAATAGACTTCGAAATGAGGTCATTTTCTTATTTTTAAGTAACACTATATAATATCCCTGAAATTTATTACCTAACCCGTTTTGCCGTTCTTTTTGTATCGGGGCTTTAGTACTTTTGGTGGTTCTATATAAATTTATACCAGACCCGATGATTATTAATGGAGTTGTTATATATTTTTTAAAGTAGTTGGTGGTCGGATATATTAAATCTGTTTAAATTAAAGTTCTATAAATGTGTAAATTAATACAATAATCGGTCTTCTCGAATAGCTCCCCAATCATTTTACATACATACGTACAAACATAAGGTCAGGACATAGAGTATAGAGTAGAAGGAGGATTATCTCTATATGAATAAGTGTCCGTAAAAACGCGTCCAATAAGGGTGGTGCTGCGGTAGTATAGGATAAATAAAACAAGCGCCAAAAGTAATTAAAATAAGATGGAGAAATAAAGAAGGACCGACCAATCCGCTTGGTTTTGTGCTACGTAAATAGTCGAGGTTTTGTATACTGGCATTTTACTAACTACTCTAGTCATGAAAATTTTTAAATATTTGAATTCAGCTGACTTGACTCCGTCTACAGCTATATTCATATTGTAGTTTTTCAGACGCCAGCGCTATTGTGGTAGGTTTTGGAACCTCTATTTTCAGTATACAGTTGGACAATTTTTCAACTTTCCCCCCATATAAGATGGTTCTCCTTCTACTCTATACTCCCTGGGTCAGGGCCAGAGGGGTAAATAGATATTATTTTACTCTATGAACTACGAACTTTCTTGGCAAGATCCTGCCACATTTACGCTTCTTTTACATCTATATATATACGCATACATGCTCGTCGGTTAAGGGTAATACTGTAACTCGTAACTACCAATCTTCAATATATCGCAAATTTGATCGATTTTTGTCTAGGGCGTCCCTTGTCTGCCACTGACTTCTACTGCGTAAATTCGCTTCGTCACTCTTTTCTCATTCATTCTTTGTACGTGTACGAACCCCGAAGCATTCCTTTCTTAATCCTGATCACAACATTTTGCAAATCATATTTTTCTCTTATCACACAATTTCTCGATCTATCTTTAAGAGATACCCCTGACTTATCTTATCTTAAAGCTGTGTATCGTTTACGCGCTTCTGGCGCGGGTGCCTTGAACCGCTCCGACCAGTGCGCTCCGGAACGCGCTCCAAATGTTCGAAGCGTATCAAGTAAGCGCACAAGGCGCGCGCGGCAGCCGCTCCAGTGTTTGACCGTTCAACATGGATGTCGGCCGTGTACGAGCACCTGCCGTTTTCATAGTTCTATGCATCTTCTCTGAGTGCTTTATTATGGCAAAAACTACATTTGTTATTCCACAGTATATCTTTTAAACTATATAACTGTATTATTTACGGCAACTTTGGTTATCCATAGCTTGGAACGCAAAGAACACACGGATAATGAAAACAACCGTCTACTCATGTAAACTTCTTTGATGCGCGGTAAAAAACCGACACCAGATGGAGCGGCCCGCTCCACGTTCGAGCGCTCCAACGAACAATTTGGCGCGTATCCACGGCGGGTATTCATTCGCGCGGCTGGAGCGTGCGCCAATATTCGACCTTTTGGAGCGCGTAATCGATATGCGGCTTAATGATGACACTTGTACAGAATTAATTTTATTCACGTTTCATTCGAGTCGACGAATTTATAGTTGAAGTACATACCGCATGTATATGGCTCTCAACATTATTGCTTGGTTCCGGCTGGAACTTTGAGTTGAGAAACATTGATATTGTGTTTCTATTTTATTGCATCATGACTTGTTTTATATAATAACTGTATGTGAGGGGTTCTTTCAGATTCGGGTGGTGATAAATTGCTTTTAAAGGGATTCTTGAAATCTTGTGTTAAGGAAAAATGTTAATATTGACAATACTGCTTTAACTTTATTTGTGAGTATTTAACTTTATTTGTGGAACTTCAAATGATTAATAATTGATAAAGCGGGTTATTTATGACTTTCAATGCTTATTTAGTTATAACGAATATGATATAATTTTTGTTAGAGATTTTCTTTATCATATTTTTTATATACATTGGTTTGATTTCATTCAGCATATCTGCAAAAATAAAATATTGTTATGGTAAGTTTTCTTTTATTCGATTTTGTTGCAAGTAGAAATCTAACCAAAGCCATTGTACTTTTTAAATAACCAGAATTTGCTGAAACGACACTTCATATACATATTTCTTCTATATTGAGTTAAATGCAACATGTCATTACTGTAAACCAAAGCTCATTTTCGTAACATTTCTAATATCACAAGCGATCGCTCCACCCCGCCCCATGTCTGTAGGCGAAAAGCGACCATATTATTTTCTGTTAAAGTTACAATTTATTAACAAAAAGCTAATAAAATGTGAAACATAACCGTCTCTGTTGTTTGAATTTTTACCCGTTAAGAGATTTGTTGACATTTTGCTTATTACTACGGCATGTAAGTAATGATCTCCTCCAGACCAAATTTTCGGTCACGGTGGCCAGTTTCAACGAAGACTACCCATCAGCGCAGGACAGAGTTATAGTGCCCATTTGTATGGGCAAGCACAGGTGCACTCTAATTCCTCACTCTCATACCAATCTCATACGACCGAAGAGAGATCGGGCGCAGGACTAACGGCTTTACGTGCTATCCGAGGCACGGAGGTGACACCGCCAACTTCCTAACTTATGGTTGCTACTGAAAATTTCTTGATAAAAACCCAGTAACTGATTTTGGGCCGACCCGGGATTCGAACCCGGGACCTCATGACCAGCAATCGCGTTTACAATCACTAGACCAATGAAACGTAAGTAATTGTTGACTGTGACTTAGTCGATTGTGATTTAGTACTTGTAACCAATGAACTCTAAATAGTATTTAGAGTTCGCTGGTCTGAACGCATGATTGCAAAGTTTTTTTTATAGGATAATGGTGACAAACGAGCACACAGTGCACCTGATAGTAAGTAATTGCTGTGGCCCATAGACATCTACATCCATCTTCGATTACGAATCAAAATGCAGATGCGTTGTCACCCGTGAGGACTAAGACGGAATGCCTCGTTTCCAGTAAAAGGGTTCTCTACACACACCATACGAAACACAGCTGCATTGGGCTGCTATTTTACGCTGGTATTCTGTGAGAGCGCGGTCCTTCCCCGGTCGAGCCGACCCATTCGTGCTGCAACCACAATATAGCTGCAGCATGACTCTACGACGTATAAAAGTTGTTGCGCATTATTACAAAAACTGGTACGAGTTCGTTTAAATATTATTTATTCTGTGGTATGAGTGCGTTCATTGTTTCCGAGTTTCTCGCCGTATTTAAATTTACTTCGCACGGCTAGCATGGGCTGGGGACAAAAAAATTATCCCCCGATTATATTCACTGACAAGAGATAAAATTATCTTGTCCTAATGCCAAAGCACGGCAACGGGGAAAAGTATATCCCGTTTGACATAATGAGTTGACATATATACCCCGTCCGTAGCATGGAGCCAAATGAAAGAGAAAAAATATGCTTTTTTGACATTTGAAAGGGACAATTTTATCCTAGTTCATTAGACGTGGGTTTAAGTTTACATTCGTACAAAAATCTATCTAGGTGTATTTTCCATTTTAGCTACTGTGGATATTATGTCCGCCAGTGTGCCCATGCTCGAAGGGCGGATAAAACTAAGCGAGGGGATAAACATTTTCTCCTTTCCCCGGGAATAAAATTGTCTCTTGCCCATGCTAGCCCTGCTGATCTTATAACTATTACATTTTTTTTATAGGATAAGGGTGACAAACGAGCACACAGTCCACCTGGTGGTAAGTGGTCGCTGCGGCCCATAGACATCTACATCTATCCTCGTTTGCGAATCAAAATGCAGATGCGTTGTCACCCGTGAGGACTAAGATGTAATGCCTCATTTCCAGTAAAAGGGGCCTCCGGCCACCTGCACTCACCAAACGATACGCAGAGGTAAACGTCTATTTCACGCTGGTATTCTGTGAGGTCGTGGTACCACCCCGGTTCGAGCCGGCCCATCCGTGCGACAGCAAAAGCTGCCGCGTGGCTCTACCACTGTTTATTGAACTAGCTAAATTAACATGTAACTATTTTCACACTCCTTAAGGTATAAAGCTGAATAATGAGAACCAGGGCCGGACCTAACCATCTTAGCGCCCCGGGCGAGTGATTTCTTTGGGCGCCCTTTTATATCCTTCTAACAGTGCCTGGTTTAGAGTTCCGACAGCCCAAGCCTAACTACGAATATGCGCGCCCCCATCGGCCTGTTCTGTCTGTGCCTACCCAGCTAGAATATATTTATGAGATTTTTATATATTTACTAGCTTTTCACCCCGTGGTTTCGCCCACATTAAATCTGAATTTTTTTTATGATAGTAAGTGTCGACTATCGCCCATAAAAATAACTGTATCGGTCCGGAAAAAATCGCCAGTGGTAGATGATTCCACAAAGAAGTCTTGCAATAAAGAAAACTTCTAGTAAATTGCACAGTTATGGTGTACCACCAAGCATCCAGATGGTGTGGTGTGGATGGTACGTGGAATTTGGTGGCTGGAATAAATCGGAACAATTTATATAAGTACTGTCCGTAGAAAATGCGATAGATAGATGTAAGGGGATGCAACATCTCTTCGC